ATAGTATTAAGTAGGATTATTTTATTTAAGATATCCATTTTTAATACGACAATTAAGAGAGTCCGAAAAATAATGAAAGTGTCACGTTAGTTATTAAAAGAAATTTAGTTAATTTTCTTTAAAAATGTATCATTACTAAGCAAAAATATTCACAAAAAGTTTGCTTGTATCATCATATCGAAAAATTATTGTTATATAATAAAACAATCTTATTAGATGTCAGATAAATAATACCCAAAAAAAAAGAAGTAGTTTTCCAACGGTAAAATAGTAATACCCTAAAATAAATAAATTTTTTTATTTGTTAGATGATATTATAGAGAGAAAGATGACGAAATTTGAACACGTGACTTTAAGGTTTAATAGCAGAATGATAGTTATTATTTCAACCGTTAACCTCAAATAATTGGCTGTTTTTATTTTTAATTGTCACTTAGCCGCTGAATAGTAAAATAATTTTGTGTTGAAATTAAACAAATTGCTGTCCCCGATTCCTTCCTTAAATCACGATCGTTACTATTTTAACAGAAACAGACAAATAAACAGATAATAATAAAATAAAGTCTGTTGACTGAGTTGTAATATAGTTAACATAATTTATTTATTTATTAATTAGCATATGTTTATGTTTTAAATTAATTTAATGTCTAAGGTAACATCATAAGATACGGTAGGGCATAACTAACTTTATAATAATGACCAATAACAAAATTGAGAATAAAGAATTTTCTCAATCAAATGACATAAACGTCAAAGAAAAAGTCGTAGGACATGCAAGGACAGAATTGACAGTATAGTATCCATCAAATTATAAAATAAAATATGACAAATTTTAATAAATTCATCTCATATTTTTAAATAGACTCATTTAACAGAAAAAAATAATTTTCTTCGGTACTTAAATTTTTTCTCACCAATTTTACCCTTATTTTTCTTAAAACATTTTATTAGTTTTTAATTTTAAAAAAATCTTGGTATGAATTTGATTAGTCATATAATTTGGTCCAAAAACTTTTGTACTGATGCTTGTAATTAGCTGGCGAGTCACTTTTTTAAAATTTTTTAACTTTTAATTATAATACATATTTTTTTCTTCTTTAGTCCAATTTAATATAATTAAGGATAATTTAGACAATTAAAAAAAATTCGTGTAACTTTCTTTTCTTTCAAACAATAAAATGAAATTACTTTCCCAAAAAAACAATATAATGTAATTTTTTTAAAATTTTCTCGCAAGTTTTTCGTGCTAACCAAATACATGTATGAAAATATATATTTTTTTATTTTTTTTTCACTTTACTTTCTATCATTTTCATTTTTTAACATTCTTTTCTTCCTAACCAAACACACCCGCTTCAAATCTTATCTAATTTTCATATTTTCTCAAATTTTCTCAATGGTAGTTCGTCTGCAAATACAATTCTGTACATAAATCGACCCCACTAATATATGGTAGATAATATAAAATTAAACATTAAAGGAAAGTTTTATGGGAGAGAATCAGTTGAGTGTTTTAACTTGTTGGATTGAAGGGATTTATCTTTTTTTTTGAATTCAAAGATAAAAGAACTGGGTGGGGTCACAATTTTTGTGGGTATGACTCTATTGTCTTATTTGTCAGGAATAATGTGGTTGTTAAATTGGTTGCTTTAAGGTTTTTATGACCATCTAATAAAACACTTAATATTTTTAATTTTTATCCCCTATGTATTTCCCTTCATTTCTATCATATCACTCATTTTTATGACAAGTTAAATCATTTAATTTTTGATTAATTGTGGCATTGTTCATGTACCATAATTTACACATTGATATTTTTTTGTGGCCATAAATTTTGAGAAAATTTTATCAATATTTTGTAAAATAATAAGTAAAAATTAATTTCAAATCAAGTAATTAAAGAAAATGAAGGGAAAAAAAATACTAGTTGTATCGATTTTTTGGGAGTTTAAATTTTATGTTGCATCACACTTAAAGATACAATTTATAACTAATTATACAATATGGGTATTTATAGGTTAACAGACCACTCCTCTATTTTATATATATATTCTTACAAATACCTCTAATTTCTACCCTAAATAACTACTCATAAACTCTCTCTAACCACCATTTATTTATTTATTTGCTAACTTATTATATAGACGAGTGAGAGAGAGTAAAGGGTAAAGAAGGAGGATGGGGAGAAGAAAGGAGGATTGGATGTCTATTGAGTGTATGTGGGACATACTAATCCAACATCTCACATTAATTTGAAATAAAAAACATGGTAAAAATTTAAGTGAGCATAGTATTAATGATGAAGGGTTATGTTTCCTAACTGAAAAGATACATTACAGGCATTTTCAACTCAAACAATTTATACCAAAGTTGACCTGGTTTTCATGTCCTAGTAGTCTTCGATTGAGGCCAGCTACTGAGGTCCCTTCTGCAACATGAAATGGCCACTGAATTTGACCAAATGCCGGGCATGGTCCCCTGAACATGGACGGTTACCATGGCCAGTTAGTTCGAAGACCCAGAAAATGGCAAAAAAAAAAGAGGTTTACTTCTTGACTTGAACCTCAATGTCTGTCATAGGAATGATATGTAGTCACTTCTTTACTGTAGTCCTTGAAAAGCTCTCCATGGAGTGGGAGGACATTGAAGCTCTAATATGGAAAAATGGTAATGAATCTAATGACAATCATATTAACAATAACCCGTTACGGTAGCTCAGATGAAAAGGCAGGTTATGAATTGAATGACCCGATTTATATTGGTGGAAGATAATTATTCATATACCATCTTGACTTATTTTATAACCACAAGTCTAAAAGACACGTGATTGAGATGATTCTTTTAGAAAAAACAATATGTTGAAGAAGATATAACTTTACTTTTATGAAAAAGCAAGATGATTTTCTTAAAAAAAACAAAATGTTGAAGAAGATATAGCCTTTCTTTTATGGAAAAGCAACAGAATTTCATTCTTTGAGATCATGAAAGGCTAAAGCTTGCCTATTTCATGGATCTGCTCTGGGAATCAGTAGGAGGCTCCCCCCCCCCCCCCCCCCCCCCCCCCCCCCCCCC